CTCCAGCGATGATGCCGACTCTGTCGCTGATCTTTGACAGGACCCCTAAGCTTTATATTGTATTTTTTCCATTTCATTCTCATCTCTAAACCTGATAAGATGTCATTTACCAACTCTGTGGTAATTTTATAATTCAGTGTTTATGAAGAAGGGACCTCTTAATTTAAAAAACGGGGCTGAAGTGGAATCAAACCAAACATATGCATGTAAATACGTGCTTATGGGAGCACATTATGTGGAACACTCTCACGCCATTTCTAGCACGTCGGAGTGCTTCTGAAGTGCCTGAGCACTGATGCACAGAGACACGGTGGGACAGCTCACATGACGGGAGTGACACAGTCAATGGATGTAGACTCTTTAAGAAGGACAGGCCAGAAAGATGAAGACCCAGAGTTGCCCTTTACACGAGAAAGCGGCAGGAATGAAGGTAAATCTGCCTGGGGTCAGGTGAGGGGCAGCTTGTGGTGCAGGATTAGGAGGAAGGCCAGCACAGGTGACATTGCAGAGGGTGTCTGCTACAGACCACCTGATTGAGAAAAAGTTGACAGGGTCTTCTTCAGATAACTGGAAGAAGCTTCATGTTTGCAGGCCATGGTCCTCATGGGAGATTTTAACCATCTCGGTGTCTCTGCTGGAGGGACAACACAGCAGAGAACATGCAATCCAGAAGGTTTCTGGAGAGCACTGGTGGCAACTTCTGCACACAGGTGATGAAGAAGCTGAAGAGGAGAGATGCTCTGCTGGACATCATACTTTTAAACAAGGAATATCTGGCCAAGGATGTGAAAGGTGGGGATAGCCTTGGCTGCAGCCACCACGAGATGGTGGAATTCAGGATCCTGCAGGAAAGGAGCAGGGCAAAAAGCAGGATCACAATCCTGGACTTCAAGAAAAGACTTCCATACAGCCCTGCATGGAAGAGGAGTCCAAGAGAGATGAATGATATTCATGGATCACCTCCTCCAAGCTCAAGAATGGTCCCAGCAAGCAGGAAACCAAGCAAAAGCAGCAGGACACCTGCAGAGATGAACAATGAGCTCCTGATTAAACTCAAGCATAAAAAAGAAGCATAAAAGAAGTGGGAGAGGGACAGGTAACCCAGGAAACATATCAAGACACTGTCCGAGTATGCAGGGATGGGGTTAGGGGAATTGAAGCCCTCCTGGAGTTCAAACTTGCAAGGGACATGAAGGGCAACAAGAAAGGCTTCTACAAGGACATAAGCAGTGAAAGGAAAACTAAGGAAAGTGTGGGCCACTGGAGCAGAGGCCCTGGCAATAAAGGACACAAAAAGGCAGAGGTCCCAAATGCCTTCCTGCCTCAGTCTTTACTGGTAAGACCAGCCTCCAGAATCCCTAAGACCAGACAAGAAGCCTGGAGTAAGGAAGACTTACCCTTGGTGGAGGAGGACAGGGTTACGGAAAACTCTTCAACAGACTGGGGATATGCAAGTCCATGGGACCTGAGAAAATGCACCCACGAGAGCTGAGGGACCTGGCTGATGTCCTTGGAAGACTGCTCCCTACGGTCTCTGAAATACCATGGCAATTTGGAGAGGTTCCTAGGGACTCAAGATAACAAGTATCTCCCCCATCTTTAAGAAGGGCAAAAAGGACTGTACTGAGAAAGAAGACTCAGCCCTTCCTATTTCTTCTTTTTCTACAAACTGATCAATTTAAAAATATTCTTGCTAACTGTTCTGAAACCATCCTTTGTACGTCCCCCAGGCAGAACTGGAGGCAGCAAGATTCGGATATCAACAGTTGTTCTGTTGACCAGTTCCTTAACACCATGGGTACTGCCTGTGCCAGTGTATTAAACAAGACGCTCCCCGCAGGAGAGACAGGCTCATGTAGCTGGTGAAATAAGAAATGCCGACTCCTTGTCTCGCCGGTACGACTGCACACAACCACAGGTGTGCTGCGCACACAGCCAAGCGCATCGCACGGGACCCACGCTGCTTCGAGGCCTGACTTGCACTTGGTACAGTATTTCTCTTACACTCTCCCTCCTGCTGGGGCCACTGTGGGCTACAGAGTCCCCTATATTTGAAAGAACCAGAATTCTATATCCTTCTTGGAAAACAGTTGGACAGTCTAATTGTCTCCCTGGGTTTCCATGACAACTGCTGCAACATAAACACCCTCGCTGGCAGCCACAAGAGACTGAAATCTCTGCTTCCTCTCCTCCATAACTTCCCAATTTAGAACATGCTGCAACTGTGGATAAATATGATTAACTATAAACATAGTGGTGGTGTCTAATATACAAGGCTGGCATTGGGGAAGCCTCTTGCAAATAAAAATACATTACGGTATTTTACGATAACAGTCAAAACATTGCCTGTTGCATCAGTGTTATCAAATACCTTGGGATCAACTGTGAACGGTGCAAAGCCGTAAATATATAAACATAGGAGGGAATTTCTGTGTCAGTTTGTGAGGCGGCAGAGCTCTGCCCTGATGCTTTGAGAACGTCCCACCTCGCTGGTGGGCTAAGGGCCGCCACGCGTCGGAGCGGCCGGCCGCGGCGTTCCGTGGCTGCACACCCATCACACACGTGCGAGGGGACAGGAGGCACCACGCCGGGGCTGCAGTCCCCATCTTCCCAGCAGCAAAATCACAGACAAAACTCAAGCACAGGAGCAGGGCAACGCACTGCACTGCACCATCAGCCTGAGCACAGCAGAAGCCCTTTCTCTGAATCTCTAGGGTCAGGCAAGACAGTGAAGCTGCTGCTTTCACCACTACCTGGGCAAACTGTGGCCTAACAAATCCCCAGTGAAGAGCCCAAGTCTCCTCCCCATCCTGAGCAAAGTTTCTGGCAAAAGAGTAGGGACAGATTAGGCAGATCAGGTCACAGTAACTGCGGAGGCTTTAGGCCCGTTCAGTGAGCCCTGCACAGCACTAAACCACTGGAACACACAGCAATTACAACGAGTTGGCAGCTGAGAACGTAGAGTTATTAGATGCTCATGATCTCAGTCACCTTTCAATTTATTAAACCAGTTTCCTGCTGTAAAAACACTACGTATTTTTTAAACAACTGCCACTGTAAATCCAGCACATGGCAAAATCACTTTGTGAAAAGAAAGGATGCAACTTCAAGCATCGGTGCGAATATAGATTCTTCAACCGTATCTTAGTTTGTCTTAGGCACTTATCCTCACTGCGCTGGCAGAAAGACAGGAGTGATTCCGATGGCTCTGAGCACCAGCTGGAAATGTAACCGTGCAATTTTCCCTGTGGCAATCTCTGTGCTTGGAGAGGAAATCCTACGGCTCTGTTTTTGCTATAAAGTGAACTCACGCTTTGAGGAACCTGAGCTGGGGAGGATGGGAATACGAGCCCTGCTTAGCTTGGAAGTCAAAATCCACAAGGATGTCTCCCAGATTACAGAGATTACCTCCTGATTACAGAGATGAGGTGGAGACAAGATTAGCAATTAATGATATAAACACTACAACTGGAGATATAATTTTTGGAAAAACAAAAGCAGCTGTTCCACTGGTTTTCTTTTTTGCATTAGGATTTTCACTGTAACACTCACCCATAAAACAAATTGAAAGACGTTTCATTGTCTGGTGAAAGATTCTATTTTTTACCATGGGATTATTGTATAGTATAGAAATACTGTGTTGCACAATATGGAATGGAAAAAAAATCTTCTTTTCTACCTAATTTGCTCCAATAGGCCGTACAGCAGGGAGTGCTATTACAAATGAATCATAAATACAGAAGGATTACTGATGCCCACGCTTACTACATGTTACACAAGAAAACTGCCTAATGAATAAAGTTTGATTTATCTATCAATCACCCACAACAAGCTTATGTTTCCATTTATGCCTTACTGCAGGCTATTACGATTTTCCTAACCACAGAAATGGTACTTAAAACAACAGTGTGCATGAAACAAATGCAGATTTATAATGCAAAGACAGATCAGGTATCTGAGAAATAGGAGTACTGAGGCTCTAAGTGCTGCAGAGCACAGCAGAGTATTAGCTCATGTGCTAGGTGAGCGTGTGGAATAACGTGCAGTGGGAGACAGTCACAGAGCAGTCAGAAGGGAAGAGATTTTGTCATTTTCACAGTTATTTATTAACCAACAGTCTCAAAATTATCACAGTACTTTTAAAATCAGGTTACAAAGGAACTATCCTCTTCTGCATCTGGAAAGAACTACAGAACAAGGCATGCCATTTTGATGGTACTGAAAGAGGGCATTTTTAGCATCATTTCACGTTAACAATTTTATAACTAGCTGATATTTCCATTCCTTCCAAATTCTATCCAATATAACTCACTGGCACTCAAGCGCTGTGCTTCAACTTCTGAATAATAAACCTCACCCCCCAACCAAATCCCCCAATCCTTTAAGTGCTGCCCAAGGCTTTCACGGTGTACGCATGGCATGGAAATGTTACACTATCTGAGAAAGAGGCATGACATATTTTGGACTTTTCACTCTGTGAGTGCATACGTCTTAACACTCCACATGCAAAGTATACCATGATGCTACTTTAAAGCAGGGCAACATAGAAATCTGTGGCTGCAAACCAGACTTCTGTTTTTTAAAACTAACTTTTTTTTTAATTTTAGATTCTTCAGTGAACAATTATGTTTCTTTAATAGGCCAATATTCAAAAGATGTGTTTTAATTAAAGCATTTAAAAAGAAAACTAATTTGGTTTTAAGGTTTTAAGTATATATCTAGGGAATATGCAACCTCAAATGAATAAATCTATCAGGGAAAAGATAATTTTCGGAATTGGTTGTGTGCTCTTGCCATACATTCCAATTGGCAGACTACACAGAAAAGTGGGTACACACCAGGAGAGGCTTTTATTTGGAAGGTGTGTTAGAATTTAATTTTCCATTTTTTCCAATAGTATTTTTCTCCTCTAATATCTTAGAAGTACCATTTTATGTAAAAGCAAAAGTGTCCTCAACAGCATAAAATAAACTGCCAGCAAAGCTTAAGGACAGAAAATCCTAAAAAGTGACATACCTGCCCCAAGCTGCTTTCACTGTAGAATCTTTATCAACAGGAATACACGAGGACTCAATGACGCTTGATTTATTCAATTTGTAGCAGAGACCACAGTCGGGATCTAACATACATCCATTGCAATAACTGAAAAAGAAAGAAAGAAGTACGTCAGCACTGTATAGTCAAAGCAATGGCTTTGAATGTGCACAGCCAAGGTGACGGAGACAAAACAACAGAAACCAGCAAAACAGAACACAGAGGCAAGAGCAACCATGAGATGAGCACTTCCCTACATAGCTCCCTAGAACGCCTGAGAAAAGATCCTCCAGGACCAGAAACATGCCCTCATATTTAGTAGTCAGAGTTTGTCTATTTATGAACTACAACATTCACACACAAAACTGCACCTGAGCAGTCCTAAACAAACACACAAAAGCGTGTCTTCTTTTTTCTCCACTACACTTCTGTTGAAGTGTGAGGTCACCTGCACATCTTTCAGTGATTCCTGATCAGACTGCAGGAGCCTTCAAACATGGAATGAATTTTGATAAAGAAACAAAGAAAAATTGGGGCTGAAAAGAAAGAACCATAGAGAAATAACAGGGAAAGCAGGATTTGGGCAGGCAACGGATGTGGGATTCAGTTTGAGATTATGGCACCACGTCTCCATGCTCAAGCTGCCCGACTTCCCACTACATTTGATAGACACAGGGTCAACACGGTCAGTGGAGCTGAGTGACACAGAGCAGCCAGTGCACAGGAAGGTCCTCCTGGGCCTCTGCATCTCACCGCAGAGGGCAGGGCCGATCGCGCCGCCGTCATCCCTGCCAGCTCCGCAGAGATGCCTCACATTCCCTTGGGAATGGCCAAGAGCAGAGCTGCTCACACTTGGGAAAGCAAAGGACGCTCAAGGCAGTCATGAGAGTCACTCAAATGACGAAATCAAAACTGTGTGCTTGACCATAAACTAACTGGTTTGAGCAGCTGGGAAAGCGCATTAATTCAGAGAGCTTTTACTGCAAAATACGTTTGTACAGGCAGTTGAAATGAAACAATTTTCAGGAAGAAGTCAATCAAATAAAATTTCATCTGGAAGTGATCGCTATTTCTTCTCTTACAAGGATGGATGAAAAAATTATAACCCTGCTATTATCATTTATAAAAGGAAAGGACAACTCAAGTACTGCTTTGTAGAGTCTTAACTACATATTGTTAATTAATATTAGTATAGCAAAGGACAGCAACAGTTGACAGGAACAAAAGACTGGAAATGAATAAAAATATTTTCATAAATCATAACTGTACATAAGTATGTGATAATGATGTTAAAAATAACTAAAAAATGTAGGACCTTTTGATGTAATAATCCTTCAGTGTAAAACAGGATGCTAATTTATGATTGTCAAATTCTGGAAACCTCCCATTCAATTTCTGTGGCTTAACAAGCTTTTAATGACAAATTTCTCAGAAGATTCAGACTGCTAGCACATCCAGCTATATCCTATCAATTACAGCAGAGGACTTTTTTAGTCAACTGCATGTAAATCATATTTAATATGAGCACTATATGTGAAATATGATGCATTAAAGTGGTCTTTAGTCAGTAATCCCCTTTGGATACACTGCATCATTTGGACTATAGAGGAGGAGACATCAAGTGACAAGTAATGACTAATGAACAAATTTAGATCATAACATCATCAAGGCCATTTGAGATAGGAAATGAGAGCTTTCCCTTGCAAATTTACCTATCCAAATTCTCTTTAGCTAATCAGAAATGGCAAGGAAAAGGGTCTCAGAAGAATCTTTGAATTAATTAAATGCTAACCTGGAGAACTGCCTGGGCCATGATGCCCTTAAAACTTGAAGAAACAAAGAGAAGGAAGACTTATTTAAATACAATTTTTCATAAACATTTTTTTCGGGATTCAAGGTTTATCTAAATCTATTCTTATCAGAAGAAATAACAGTCAAATACACAATACCAGACAAAATAAGCAAGACACAAGAATTTACAAAAACGGCAATTTGACAGGATGGTATCATTTCCATGACACAAATGACAGAGCTAAACTCTGTATCGATTATTCTACTCTGCTGTGTTCTTTCCATGCATAATTACACGTAACGTCCTCTGCAACTGGTATCAGGAACCAGTCAGTTCTAGCACAGAAGGCATCTCAATCAGCCCTCCCACCTTCCCTCCCTTCCCCATTCAGTAGTCCAGGAAAACTCTAGGAATTTTGTTACTGACTCCAGGGTCTACCTACGTGGCTGTGAGTTCAGCTGCTCCTCCAGCCTTATTGAGTGTAACTGAGTCTTGTAGGTGGCATTCAGCATTATAAAGGCTACTGGTGCTGAATGTCAGAGGTTGGCACCAAATGTCAGAGGTTATAGTCGCATATGATAGTTTAAATAATTTAAAGTGGTTATTTCCCACTGCTTAGTTATTTTTCACAGTTTTCCTTATGCTCGTTTTTCAGAGTGAAAAGTTAAATGACAAATACTAAAAACAAACAAACAAAAAAATGCCAAAAAACTTTGCCTTTGGGCTAGGATTTCCTATTATTAGCTATCCAGCAATTTCATACCATACACTTTGACCTCTGCTTTCAGAGACAAGACTAGCCTGTGTCAGAGAAAACCCAGAAATTCAAAATATAAAAGACATTTAAAGCCCTTTCAAGTCTAACTCCCAATGGACTTACGGTAGGTGTTTTGTAACTGTTTGACAATATTACAAAAAAAGGAAAAAAAGAAAAAAAAATCTTTACCAGTTACTAAATAAAAATGGTCAGTGAAGATATAGGCTGCAAGAAGCAGGAAAGATTTTTTAAAGAAGTCAAATAATAAAAAACTGCTGAAGCAGTTTTATTTTCTCTCTCAAAAAGTTAAAGTGGAAATAAAATATATATCAGAGTTTCAGGCTTATGATTCACTTTAGCCCCATTATTAGTTGCTAAATAGGAAATATTTACACAGTTCAAACTTGAGCACAGATTCTTACATGCTCATTGTGCTGTAGATAAATCAGGACACACAATACACCAGGAAAAGCAATGCACACTACAATGCTTATTGACATTTAAACTATCTACTACTGATCTCCTTTCTGCCCTGTAATATACATTCCTATCAGCTCTGCCCAAATATTAGACTGAATAATGAATCTACACTGATACTTATTCAAACCTCCCATGTGGAGCAGTCACGGCTGTAAAAGCTCTGTACCAGAAGTCCCCAGGGTGGCTACGGTCAGAAGGAAATTTGTATTCAGTAAGAAATGGGAAACGTCTTTCCTGCGCTTTGCCATGAAAGGTTTGTATCCGTGCTAAGCGTGTGAGATGATAGTGCCTTGGCAACGGACTCCTCAGAAGAGAAGTAGTTGAAAATTCTTAGACAGAACGGTCCTAAATCAGAGCCTGACAATTCATCAAGATTAGAATATCTGGCTGAGGTGATTTGATGCTGATGAAAGCAGGCAGCATCCCAGCAGAAAGGCCTTCTGACGGGCCTGGCTCCCCGGGCGCTTGCAAGGCAGGTCCCTAGGCAGCCCAACAGCAAGGCCATCTTCAGATGCTTCCCCCCACGCAGCAGAACAACAACACACACAGGGCAAGGAACGTGAGGCTCCAGGCGGCCCAAGGCGGCCAGCTCCGCTGCAGGCCGGCTGCCCGCATGCCCCGAAGGGAAGTCCCACCATCCTGGCCCTCGTTCCACAGACCCAGCAGTGCAGCGGGATTTTTCAGCTCCCGCCTCACTGCCAGAGCCAACGTTCGATGTAAGTGGAGGGACAGTTCAGAGACTTGATCTCCCCAGACCACAATTCCCTGCTCTGATTCTCCCAACTCAGCCGAGGCCTCCATGCTCTCATGGCCCCTTCATCTGACCAGATGTGAATCTGTGGAGCCTGCATAGCCCAACACCGCTAACTCCTTGCTAGCAAGTCCAGGTTGCTCTGCCCTGGAGCAGTTGGTCCTACGAACCATTCCTGACACTGCAGACTGATCCCAGAGATCACAGTGCCCTCCTCTTCCACAGGAAATTTAAAGTATAGAGGCATTATTCTTAACTGGCTAGCTAAGTATTTTTTTTCCTGATACAGAATTTATGATTTTTATTTTTCTTTAGTGCAATTCACTGTCTCTACTGAAGTTGATAAACAGAATGAACAAATTCTCTATACTGTTAAAGCAACCCTGAAAGTGTCA